TTTCAGCAATATTGGTAGCAACTATGCATTTTCGCATTCCTCCTGGTGCACGATGGAAAATTTTTGCCTGAAAGTCACCCGAAATACATTTCCGATGTTTTGCGCATCAACTGATATTACAGAGACCTTGTAAAAAACCCTACAGGAGACAGAGAATCAGAAATCAAAGAAAGTGATGAAAGATACCTGTAAATCACTGGGTAACTGGGAATATATGGGAAGCACTGCTAATGGAGGAGCTTCGTCAAGCTCTCCTAGACGTGTTTTCATAAGCTCACATGTAACCTAAAACGAATTATATGATAGGTTGTGCTCAATGAAACTAAAAAGACTTTTTCAAATCCATACTTCAATATCTTCCTGACCAGGCATAAAAATTAGAATATCTCCTTCCATGCCGCCAAGATGCACAGTAATTGCTTGCTTGACAGCAGCATCAACGTAATCTTCTACCTGAAGAAGTCAAAATTAATTGCAAGTATGATTAAAGGCGAAAAACCTTCTGAAAATAAAATATAAGACGACGTACCGGTGCTCTTGCATGAAAAATCTCAACAGGAAACGTTCGACCGGGAATAGTGAACGTCGGGCAACTCCCTCCAAAGAAATTTGCAAACTTATCAGCATCCATAGTCGCTGAAGTAACGATCAGGCGCAGATCAGTTCTGCGAGCGACGACGTCACGAAGAAGGCCGAACAATACGTCCGTATTCAATGATCTGCAAACCATTTGTGACATTCTGTCTCATATTTGCCGTTATTAATTAAATAACTTCATTTAAGAACCAAAGCAGCTTTTCATACGATTAGGTACCGTGCGTGTTTCAATAAGTTTCGCTTCAAAAAAATTTTTTGTTACAATACATTCGAAGAGTACTAGGCAAAAAATTTGGGAAAAAGCTTGTGCACAATTCAGAACTAGATAAACAACAGAATAAAGCAGAATAAAGCACTATAGTATAAATAATTGCACTAAACTAGCTGGTAAATAGATAGAAAAAGGAGTCAACTTGAGGATCTGAGAAAGATCTACCTTTCATGAGCTTCATCCATGATTATGGCACTGTACTGATCCAAATCACCGTCTCCTAAGCACTCTCTCAACAAGATACCGTCTGTCATGTATTTGATCACCGTCTTCTCAGAAGTGCAATCTTCAAATCGGATTGCATATCCCACTTCTTGGCCAAGCTAAACATCTTGTCTATTGACAATGTGCATGAGCTGTAAGAAACACTACCTCCACACCCATCTCATCAGCAACACGCTTCGCTACACTCATTGCGGCAACTCGACGAGGTTGAGTACATCCAATAATGCCTATTAAGAAGATCGTCTACATTATCACATAAACACTACGTCACTCGAATATCACTACCTGTGTCTCCAAATCCATCCTCCAGCAGATATTGGGCTAGCTGCGTAGTTTTTCCTGAACCTGTTTCTCCTATGATGATGACCACATTATTCTCTCGGATCACAGTCATCATTTTTTGTCGGCAGGCAAAAACTGGCAGATATTCTCGTTGTTGCTACAAAATTATGTTGCTGACATCATTTATGGAGAAAATACTGCGTCAAGTACCTTCAATGATTTCTCCATCGCAAAATCGGACACTGCCTCCGTTTTTTCGCTCATATGTGTAGCAAATTGATGAGATCCCTGAAGGCCAAAATTAGAGGATAACTTGGGCTATGAAGACTGTCTAAAATCTATTAGCCGTTATAAACCTTGTAATCATTTGCATCGTCGTCATCTTCTGCAGTTTCGTCTGGTTTCTGCTTTACGCCCATCAAGTTACCCAATTTGCTTCCAGCAAGCTCCCAGTGCTTCTCTTGAGCCTGAAAATCGCATCTTGCATAGCTGAACAAACCAGATAAGAGTTCACCGATGAATAATTAAAAGAAGCATTCAAAAAAGATATCTTAATAGATACTTTGAATTCTCACCTTTTTTCTCTCCTCCGATTCTCGAAATTGCCGAACCACTTTACTGCCACGAGCTGCAGCAACAGCCATATCACATGTTGTATCCACCACTGGTATAACTGGCTTAGATTGCTGAAACAACCAATTATTGCAATCATTTTAAGAGCAAATTAAAGAAGCAAAATCTCTGCAGATTGTTATGTATCGCGTAGTATGTCTTACCCGAGTAAAGACAATTCTTCCGTCCAGAAACGGCGGGACAATGTTGTGGACGAGCAAATGGACACGATTTTCATCTGTTTCATCATCAAAAACACTGGACAACTCGTCAGTGAGTGCAACAACTCCTAAAGAAAAGAAGAAATCTAATATCTGATCTAGATAGTTGAACCTAATAGATATATTGCAGATGTAACATAATCGATGTGATTCTCTAGTCTACGGATTATCAGGAATGTATAATTTTTCGCTTGCACGTTTGACTTCAATGAAAAAGTGTTGCAAAGCTTGGATGCGACAGTACATTTCATATTAAACTTGAATCATAGATTACTTTTTATGAGCCAAGTTTAATATGAAGACTCAGTGGCTTCAGTTGTGACAACGTTTTTACCTCTGCAAAGCAAGAAATGAAGCTAAACAAGCTTCAAGTCAAGGAAAAAAGCAGTTCTCCAAACTCTATTCCTCAAAAAAGCAGGAATTATGGAATGCTTCAAACAAAAGTATCGACTCTGTAGTTTTCTGCAAATCCCCAAGAAAATGTAGAGAGAGATGTTCTGCCTATACGCAAAAAAACACCCTCCCAGATAGCTTTAGGTCGCTTCTTTTGTCATATGTAAGGTATACGGGCAGAAAATTTGTTAAACAAATATTCAAGTGAGAAGCATCATAGCAGCAACAATCACCAACCTGATCTGTGTAGCCGATTGTTTTCCCAAAGTTCATTTTCACGCTTTATAGATTGTTGTTTCAAAGTGAGACGGGGCCCAGTCGTCTTTTCTTGCCATTGCTTTTCTCGCTTTTCCACAAATTCCTCGCTAACCTATAATACCAAAAATGTAGGAGATAAGAATGCAAAAAAAGAACCTGTAACGAGCAATACAATTATTACCTTAGCAAAAGGATTGTACTCCTCGTCGTAAACACCACCATCATTATCATACCACTCTCTTTCAATAATTTTCTGTTCAGCCTCCCATTGCGCCTTCTCCTCCGCATCGTAAAATGTTGGTCTGCAAACATCTGTTGTATTTTCCTTCTGCTCACTCTATCCCTCTCCTTCCCCCACTTTCGTTTGCACCTCTGAGTGGGTGGGCTTAAATTTTGCCTGGTTAGTTGACTGGCGAGAGAAGCGCCATAGTTTTCTCCTATTGGACTAATAGGGATGGAGCAAAGAAATTTTGAAGAACATTTTAGCGATCAATCGAGAGAAACTATAGATAGCATATTGTTTCCAAATTATTAGAGAGTAAGAAGGAAGCACAAGATAATCACTAAGCAACTAGACATAAGACTATTCTTAAAGTACTTTAATTATATGGCATGAGTAAATGGTTATTTTCAAAATGTTAACATGAACATTTTCATGGATAAAGTCACCGACAGAATTTCTCTTAGAGGTCACTGAGTTTCAACTTATGAAAAACATTATAGAATGTGATGCTTCTTTGACTCATTATTAGACTTCTTAAGAATGGAAAAGACCTCTTTCTCGTATTCCGCGCCTTGGTCAGATATAGCAAACAACTTTAGAACCAGACTCACTCAAAACCCTCTTCCTTAGCAGAACGCACAGATTCGTCGACAGGTTCGTGTTTTCTATTCCGCTCTTCATCTCGACGGCGTCGTTCACTACGCCAAATACTTGATACACCTAAGATACTTACACAATGATTTGGAAGAAATTGTAAGAATCAGGTATGATATCTTTACATGATAAGAGAGAACACGAACACCTTTAGGGTTGTAGAGCTAATAAGGATAAGTAGTTTGAAACCATGCAACATGTTGATTTACAATGAGTGTGGTATTGTAAAGTTTCAAACTCCAACTAGAAAGCTATAGCATGCTTGTCTCTGTCTTTTAAAAGCAAGCTACTATAAAACTACTCCAAAATACAGCAAAACGACCTTATTTCCCGAAATCGAAATTGTACTATTGTGGGGTTGAGGGTACTTTCAACCACGAGAAATGGTTTTTTTGCTACTGTGACACGCTTACTTCGTTCCGAGTCTCCTCGGCGAGAAGAGGAAACGGAGCGTGGCGAAGGTGTATCCCAGGACGACTTTTGAACAGGCCCATCATCATCATTCCATCCATATCGAGATGGTGTGAAGGGAACCTAACATTAGTGCAATAATATTAAAGAATTCAAAAGACAGATCATGCT